ACCACAAATTAAATACTCAGCGGTTTTTAGTGACTTAAGCAACTTTTACTCTCATATCATAAAACATCTTATAAGAAAAAGATGTTTATTAACATTTAATTCTAGAGCAGACTTTCCAGCACTGCCGTACAATTACTAGCTTCATTTTATAACACCGTTTCGATTGTTTGCCAGTGAAAGTTACCATTACGTTCTCTAATTATTTAGTGGATTTTAGTTCTGAATAAAATCTTTCTATAGATAAATATCCTAAGCTCTGATGTAACGAAGTTCTGTTTATTTATTTGCATTCAGCAGAAATATTTTTATTATAACTTTAGAGTAAAAAATTTACAATATTAAGCAATATATTTTAAGGCTAATAGATTATCATAAAATATAAATTCGAATAAATGCCTGCTTTTTATGACACAGAATAAGTGTAACAAAGAGAGATAAAGTTCTTTGCTTGACTGCTCACGGAAGTAAACATAAGAAAATGGGGATAAACAGTATTGTAAGTTGATGACAATCGAATGCAAACACAATACGGTAAATTTAATTACAAATGCGCTTTAGAAAAACAAATTCTCAAATCAAGTTAGCCTCGTTCTTTTCATTAAATGATACAACACATTTTCAGGGATGTAACACTTATATCCTAAAGTTAATAGAGAATTAATATCACTGGAGTTCATAAAAGAATTTTTTTAGAAAATTAAGTTAACAAAATTTATGATCTCCGTATCTATATCATATTCGTCTTCGAAATATTCCTTTTAAAAATTCCTGCCACTTTAATCTGCTATCTTAGTTCTATTATATGTTCTTTATGTAGTATTTTCCACTATACAAGTATATCTAAACAGCACTGATCAAGGTGTATTTTATCCTCTGAGTGAGTACAAACTGTGTTGAGATGCTTTTTGAGAAGAATAAAGTTGAAATAAAATTGTTACTTTTAAGCTTACAAATAGCTAAATGCAGTTCTTGGTTTAATGGTACTTTGAACATATTGCAAATATGACTACCAATTTTGATCGGATATATGACTCAGAAGAACAGAGAATACTGTTAATCAATGAGTTCAATCAACTAGAAAATTAGAAAATTTTCAGTTTAATACATTAGAAAAAATATTCTTCATGCAAAATTTGAATTTTAGTAAGAGCAAAGGAGCTACACTTCTCAGTCTATGCTAATAAATTATAACGCTTGACTAAAAGTTTAAATAAAATAGCAAGGAAGTAGATATTTTAGGTACTTAGAAATAAAAATGGTTTTAACTAAGGGCAAAATATCTAACTGTTTAATGATGTATACAAAGGTAAAATGCAATTTAAATGTTTTTATGATTATGCTTGTACTGACGTGCAAAGGAAATTTAAATATGTCGTTATTCTAATAAGAAATAACTAAATGTATTCCACTTACGATATTAAAAATTTTTCCCCCTTGTATGCAACATGAATTAAAAAACGCAGATTTCATTAACACCGAAAGATGATGAAATATTTCTGAAAGAATGTTTTTGTTACAATTAACATTTAAATTAAGTGTCAGTTTCTATTATATTAAAATTTCTTTTTAAACTATTTATAATCTGTTGATAACGAATTGAACAAAAATATGATATTGAGAGGACAGTTTAAATTATTAAATTAGGTTTGTGTCATTCTTATTAATCTTTTCTTTATACAACAGCAATCGTTATATATTTTTAGTTTAAATTGCATAATGAAAGGTAAAATAAAATATTGGCTTAATTTCTGAAAGGAAAACGATTATTTTATTTCTTCCACTACTTTTATTTCCAATAAGTAAGATAAATTAAACGCTTAATTAAATGCTAGTATTTTATTGTAAGTATATTCTTCAAAATATTAGCACTTTTTTCTTATTATATACGGGGTAAAATGAATTAAGAAGAGAATTAATTTAGCAACTATTAGATTTTTAGAGAAAATTATTTTGCACTTATTACTTTTTATCGTATTATGTAATCTCAGAATATTGCATTAAATGTATATCCCTTACTCTATATGTGTAGCACCTTTTTGCGATGGAACTGAAAAAAGTAGATCAAAATGTGCATTTGAGTAAGTGTCAGCAACTGCCAGCTTTAGCATAACGTAAAAAATTCAGCATATGCACACCCGAGCAAACATGAAAAATTTCCTACCGATATCATATAGCCAGGAAACAATGTAGTGTGATTACTTAAATGCAATAATGATGTGTTTTGTCTTAAAAATTCACTTGAATGCAATTCAGTTAAACAGTTAACTACTGCATCGAATTTGAACAAATAATTATTAATAATTCAAAAATTAATATCAAAATTCTATGCTTAATTTAAAATACAGCCTTGAAATGGGTAGACAAAATTTTTTATAACTTCTGAAAGTCTCATGATTTTATTATACGTCATTTAAGCTTATATGGCATAAGAATGAAACTTGTTATTAAATTTAACATAGACGATCAAACCCTGCTATAGAAAACCCCATTTATATCGAAGTCCCGGATGTAAGGAGCCAACCTTTTGATCCTCCTGCAAACCTTTGCACTTAATGCTAATTTATGCTGATATAACGAGATTCTAAATGTACGGAATCGAAAAAGTGATTTTAGACTAAAATAATTGTCTTTTAGATATGCGATTAAACACATTTCATCTTACAAAGGGTGCACTTGTCAAAGTTGTTATGTGAGATCTCGATTCGGATTTCAACGGAGCGGGAAACAGAAAGTGAAATTACAGGGAAAAAATTACCAATGCAAAATGTCAAACAGTAGTTACGCTATATTTTATACAGGTGCAATTACTGACGAGATCGCAAAAATCTTTGAAATGATGTTCTAACTCCACGCCAGTGCTAAAATGTTGTTGTTTAGGAGTGCTTCAGGAGTCAAAGATCTGGCCATGGACAAATGGGCTGCTTGTGACATAAATGGCTTGGTGCCATAAATGGGCACAATACCACTTAATCATATCAGTGCCTTATCAAGAATGATGAAATATTCACGTGCATCAGGTACATACTTCATCATTAAAGATAAGCCAGAATTTCCAAAGAAGCGAGGAATAGGCACTAAGTTCCTTCATTACAGAATAATACGACTTACGCTAAGGCAGTGACAATTAACACTGAAGAAAAACTGAAACGGACAACTGTTCTTAGCCAAGATAACATCATTCAGAATGTGCATGGATAACTTCAAGAACCTCAGTTGCATAGATGCCTCGTGAGATTTGTGAATGTCGTTGAATGTTGAAGGAATGCCGCTCTTAATCTGAACAAAAATGGATAGTGGAAGAATTCAGGACCCTTGGAAGTGGTAGAACTAAAAGCATGGGCAAATATTGCTAAACATTTTTCCTCTCACTAGATGATGCCACATACACTGGTGGCCAAAATTGTTCACACTTTTAGAAATTTGTATGTTTTTGAACTTTGTATGCTTATAGAAAATGTTAAGTTTCGCAAAATGCAAACTTGTATATACCATTTTAAAGATAATTTATTACTGAATTCAATACAAAACACAAAATTCAATTATTTTCAATACAAAAAAGTTATATGTACTTTAATATAAATAAAAAACACAGTTATGAAGTGCTTTGTAATGTCTAGCTTTCCTGGGCCAATCACTGTTCTTGTTCTGAGAACCAATCAAATGTTAGTAACTGCAGTAGAAGCGACATCATGTTTACACTTGAAAAATTCAGATTTGCTTTGTTCTGTAGAGGAGGACCTGTTTCTTATACACTGCAATTACAAGTAGGAATTTTCGTAAAATTTTAATATTTAGTCAAGAAGCAATGACATCAAATAAAAGAGTAAATTGGACACCTAAAAGATTGTATATTATGTGTTACGAGAAAGTGGTCTTTCCTATGCTGAAATTGCAAGACAGGTGGGTGGTTCAGTGACTACATCTGGAGTCTGAAAGTTTTGTTTACGATATCAGGAGACAAATTCAATAAAAAACAAAGAAGGAAAAGGACGAAAAAGGTGCACCACATCTATTGCTGACAGAGGAAAAAAGACTATGTCTCAAGATAAAAAAGTCATCAGCGGCCATCAGAAGTGATCTGAATGATGCTGGTTTTCTGTCAGTTAAAGAACAATCAGAGAAAGATTAACAGATGTTGGGACTGAGAGGTAGAATTCCACGAAAAAAGCCTTATCTTAATTTTCAGCAACGAAAAAAAAAAAGACTACAGTGGGCAAAGGAACACATTAATTGGATAGATGATCAGTGGTCACAAGTTTATATGGAGTGATGAAACTAAGATATCGTTATTCGGTAGTGATGGCGAAAATATGTAAGACGTAGAATAGGAGAAGAGCTACATCCTGACTGCATTCAAGCAACTGTGAAGAACCCAGTTAGTGTATGATTTGGTCATGCATGTCAGCAGATGGTATTGGTCGCCTTCATGTCATCGATGAGACACTGAATGCCAGAAAATACATGACACTATTCTAGAACCAAAACTTCTACCTTCCATCAGAGATCTCTTTCCCAATAAGCTTCGTTTATTTTTCAGCAGGATTCTGCTCCTTGCCCACGTCCAAATATCGAAAGAGTGGTTTCGTACAAAGAGCATTAATTGTTGTCATGGCAGGAAACAGTCCTGACCTCAATCCTATCGAAAATTTGTGGGCATCGTTTGAAAAACTCTTGCCCGAATGAGGCGCCCATCAAATAAAAGGGAACTAATTGAGGCTATAATGTTTCCTGGCATCATGTAATAATGAAAGAAGAGCTTAAACTCTTGTCAGCTCAATGAAACGTCGATGCGAAGCTGTAATAAAAATAAAGGGTACCCTACTAAGTACTGATAACTCACTGCAATCATCACATCTAATGTATATCGATACTATTATCGTTTAAATTTTTTTGTACTGCAAATAATTGAATTTTGTGTTCTGTATTAAATTCAGTAATAAATTCTCTTTAAAATGCAAAGTTTGCATTTTGTGAAATGTAACGTTTTCTATAAGCATACAAAGTTCAAAAACATAAAAATTTCCAAAAGTGTCCACAATTTTGGCCACCACTGTATTTATGCGAAGTATTTTACTACAAGCGAGATGATACAATCCCGACTAAAAGTTAGAGTAAGTCGTCTAACCTAAAATTTAGTTTTTACCCTCAGCGTAGAGAGAAATCGAACAGTATTTAACATTGCAAGAGCAAATATACGCGTTTGAATCATTAAAATTCTTTTACCCAATTGTTTCGACTGAAGACATTTGAAACATGCAAGAATTGGGAATATCAATAACTGCACCTGAAGTTGGATTTCGTGTTAATAAGACCAATTTTGCTTAATACAATTGGTTTAGTAATTAAAACGCTGTCTTCAGTATTAAAACGCTGAAGTTCTGTCTTCTGATTTTTTTTTCATTCCTTAGATTTTCTGTGGATTTAGGTTATTATTTTAAAGGTTATTTATTGAACTTTGAAATAATACTGTGGGCAAATGAATGCATTTTCTTTGAACATCATTAGTGATGAAATTAATTTTACTTTACCATATTAACTCAGAAGTTTGAAACTGCACATATTCTTTTACTTAACTCTCTTCACTGTGCACTGCGGAAATTTTAGGTACAGAAAATTAGTATGCCAAGCCGTAAACATATGGCTTTCTGTAATAAAGGTTAAACGAGTATTATTAATATTGAACTGATATATATATGCAAACATATCTATATTTGATTGGCGTGAAGTTTATCGAAATTTGGAATTGCTGTTGAGTGGAAGAGTTAAAACTTCATTACTCTTACTCATGCGAAAAACTTCTACAAAGGATCGATCGTGAGCATGTTCTAGAAGCATTACTGAAATAGTTTACCATTCCATTACCTGAAACAGTATCAAGAATCCCCTTTCTCATAAAATTATAAGAATTTTATGTAGTTTAGATGGAGGTATGTGATTGGAGGGACGAAACTAAATCATGAATTTTATGCTGAGTAACTTATCATGTAAACTTATTAACGTATGATGAAACTGAGCGACAACGAAAAAGAAATTTAGTAACTGCAATATGAATTTTTTAGTTAGGAGATGTTATTTACTTCTTTTGGGAGATATACCCGTGCTAAACAATCATTTTGTGATTCATAAGTCAACTTTTGCCTAATTTTAAGAGACTATTTTTTTCTGGTCAGTTAGGATGTATTTAATCAACAGGTATAGCGAATCAAATCCTCGGTTCTTTAAGTTTCGTTATAGGGGAGTTCGACAGTATTTCGTTTCATGATTGCTTAGTAAACTGAAAAAGATTAGAGAGTACTTTTATTATCGATAATGCGGAACTCACATATATACATGTACAACATATAACTTTGTTGTATATCAACTTGCATGTACATCAGCTTCTACATGCAAATACGTGTGTTTTTTTGTGCTTACAAGTAGTTGTATATATAAGTGCTGTGTAATTGTACATATAAGTACTTGTATTTATGCTATACCTGTATTTGTGTGCTTGTACAACTTGCACACACAAGTAGCTTTGTTTGTTGCAGTGCATAAAGTACACACAAGTTTGAAGGCATTAGTTTGCCCTAATGCCTTGAAAGTTATATGTTCTCAACTTCATATGCATATAATATTTATTACATTGATGCAGCATATATATAATGCAATTATAACTTGGAAATGAAATTAGTATGTCAATGCTTGCCCACGTATATTCATAAAAAAGTTTATAATTCTGGTGAAATGCTTTCCACATAATTATTTACTAGTTTTATATTCTCATTTATGTATGCATAGAAAACTTTGGGTAAATACATAACAAAGCTTTCTCATGTAGTAACCTGGCATTACATAAACGTGTTTTTCTGAGTCTTTTTTAAGACATAAAAGAAAATCTTTAAATTGTGCTCAGTTATGTAAGTATGCCAGGCGTAAATGGGTATTTATGCCTGAAATACTTAGTGCATGTTGTCGGACCTCATGAAAATTTTAACGAACAGTGAAACTCTAAGAAGATATAAGCGTAATACTTAGTGCATGTTGTCGGACCTCATGAAAATGTTAACGAACAGTGAAACTCTAAGAAGATATAAGCGTAATACTGAGTACTTCCGATCCTCCAGTGATATTTGTTCTGAAACAACATCCGGTAGGAATTCAAAGCTTTGCTTAACATTGAATTACATTACACTCTTGAATTTCGTGACGAGTTGGCAACAGTAACATCTCCGAAGACGACCCCTTTACGGTGATCTTCGGAGTTGGTCGAAGCTTGTTTCAGGAAAGGTCTTCTGCCACTGGCCATGGTCATTTGATGGTGAAGAGCGTTATTTCTATGGCTGGTGCTCATAGCCTCAGTCATGGTTGTGTATTCTGAAGCTCTAGAATGGCCGTCCGCAAGAGGTCGCTGCAGAGAAGGGAAGCAAAATCCCAACTTTTGCGCTACCCAGTTGCAAAAGGGCAGCCTTCTAGGAAGAAAAATATTAAACTATAAGTCATTATCCAAGACTTGGAAATAAAATATATTTGCAAAATTCAATCAGAGCTTTCATTTATTCTTTTTAATACAGATAATAGCATAAAAATTAAACATGCATCATTTCGATTTTTTAATACAAATAATGTTTTATTAGTTTGTTGTGTATTTTTCTAACAGCCTTCCAAAATTTAAGTAAAAATACACAGATTTCGCGGAGAATAAGCTCAATTGTCTTCAGTTACTTTCATTCCTTATATGTTATACATAGAACGAAGATTCTACAATATACTCGTACATCACTTTTGTTTTATAGTTTCTTAAACGAATATGCAAATCAATAATTAAAGACGAAACGCCTAGTTACTTATGTGTGCATTAAGGAGCTACGGTATGATGCGAAGCATTACAATGAAGCATAAGTAAATTATGCTAACCAGACTTAAATATAGGCTAAATTAACTAGTCGAATAATGATTATTGGACAAGTTAAACAACAAAAATCAGCGTAATGTTTGTAAATGTTGAAGAATTAGTTTCGATGGTTTAAATACAGATCCATCTTCCTCAGCTACCTAAAAGCAAATGGCACTTAGGCACTTAGTGAATTTAACTTCTCCAATAACGACATAAATCTCTTCATAGCCACATGTATATGCTAAAGTCCCTAAAGCTATGAAAATTGGTAAAAGAATTAAGAACTGAGATACCCTTCTGTTATTGGGACCGGATTCAGAATGTATTCATGTATGCATGTATGGGATGTGCTCATGTATGCATGTGCATATGCATATATGAGATGTGCTCATGTGTGCATGTGCATATGCATATATGAGATGTGCTCATGTATGCATGTATATATGCACGTGCTTATGTATATCTGTATGCAGATACACACGTACCTACAGACGTGTGTAGGTACACACATACATGCATTTCTGAATCCGGTTCCCATAACAGAACAGTACCAGAATTGATTATTAATTTAGATACCAAACCTCGCTCAGATAAAATCTTTTAACAAGGACTATACACAGGGACTGGCGGATCAGAGTGGCATCTTAAGTATTGGGATTTCGAATTTTTAGTGAGATATAGGCTATATTCTTTCTTTTTTTTTTTTTCATTGAAAAACGTAATTTCCTATGAAGCGTTCTAAATTCAGTTCAAAATGGCTTTGTACCATTAAAAAGCGCAGAAAATAAACACTTCAGATAAAGAATTAAAATTGAAAAACTTTTGTGAATTTTTTAATTTCAACCTTTCAATTTCATCTCATTTATAAGACACCATTTAACTGATTTTAACTTCCAAATCAACGGATTTGCTTACCATTAAGTACCTGCGTAATCAAAAGTAAAAGTTAATAGATTAATTAACTAAAGCGTAAAAGAGCATTATCTGTAGAATGTTATATTACGCCCCTCATTATTTTTATTTCGCCTTAATTTCGACAATGAATTTTTTTTCGGACAAAGTTTATGTTTACAGTTAAAGAATGCAAATTTAAAAGTAAAGAAATGATAGATGCACATAACTAAATATTAAAACAAGGGACAGTTTCGCACAAGAAGTTCTATTACAAAATATAAATACTGAAAAATCATCTTCTTCGGTTTTTATAGACGTATTTAAGGTAACTAAAGCTTCGAACGATCATAAGCATATCGGTTTTCTAATCCGATCCAGAGCATCTTGATTACAAGATACACAAAAAGCAGATTTGATAGCACAGGATATGTACAGTGTCTTTTTACTTCTGCCCAACCAATGCTGGATTATGCTAATGTTCTCATATATGTCGTTTAAGCATTCAGTAACTTTATTTGGGCTGTTTTAAAGGACTATCGATTACCATGTCGCGAAATGATATATTGAATAGATATAATACACACTGCCGTTTTCTAATCATTTTTCCGGAAGTGACACGTTGGCTCTTTGAAAAAGAAAGACTCGTGTGAGACTCCTTCACATCATAGACAGTTTCGAAAAAAGAAGGAAATCCACGTTTGAATGTACTCCAAATTTAACATCATATCTTTATTACATAAATGTACATGTTGCGCTAACTGAGTTACTTCGGTTACAAATATATTACAGCCGTTATTCGTTTACAGTCGTCGAAAACCTACAACAGACTCGTTGCAACAATTAGTAGCACAACCTTTAGGCTATAATAGTGAAGACAGTTTCTCGGCGAAGCACTAAATAAAGCTCCCGACGCGCTAAATCGTTCTTCAGCTAATCTCTGAACTCATGACAATACTCTCTTCCAGGACAGGCAGGGTATATATAGCTTTGACTTACCTTCGAGAATATTCTCGAGAAAACCACCCAAAAATTTTTCTAGAATGCTCTCGCTCCGTCTATGACATAGCGCCAATTTTATTGCCAAATATTGCCAAACGGGGTATTTCGCGATAAATCTGGTAATGCTGCTTTTATCTGTCACCATCTGGTAGCCCTCAGCTCGCTTTGCTGGAAAGCTATCTCCCAGCGTAGTCTCTGGGCATTTCGCAACACGCTAAACCCAAAACACAGCAGACAACTCAGATTGAAATAACTGAACTAATAACAGCAATTTTCTCTCACTACACAATTAATAATATTTAAACAATATTATATTAAATTATCATAATATAACGCATGGATGACTTAGATAGAGCTCGGACAATTAGTTAAATTGCAATATGCTATTGAAATTTTGTCTCCTTAAATGATTTTCTTGCGAGAACTATCACAGAATTATACAATAATACCAGAAATACTTTATGATTATTTTGAGACCAAGATTCTTCGGCTGGATCGTTGTGATCGACGAACTAACTGGGAACAACACTTCCAGAAAATACTTCTTGACAAGTAACAGCTGTTCTATATCGACTTCCAGAGAATCTCTGACATAATGTGCATATCTTTTAACTGGCACCAGATGTTCAATGCATTAACCAGGAAAAGGAACAAAATTTTCTATTCACCCACATTCTTGTAAATTAATATCACTGTCGACATGGAAAAAATGATGTCCTATAGAGAGTTTATTACATGAAACTGTTAATTAAGCACTAAATGTAAAATATTTTAAGACTTTTTGTTGCTTTTAATTTGGAAATATGCAATCATAAATAGCTATACTTCGTTAATTACAGTCTGCAATTACTTTCAAAACTCTATCATCAATATTTATCAAGTGTCCTTCCAAAAGTGTTATCTATGTTTACTCATTTCTAAGGATATTTTATTGAATAAATTTCATAAAATTTATAGCTGCAAAGTTCTTTAAGGATCCCAAAAGTAATAAAAATTAAAGACTAAAATTCTAGATGTTTATGCTTCCGTTTCTAAATTTGTTTCCAAAACCAGCTATATTTTAAGTAGTGCAAGAATATCTCGATATTTGAATTAGTATCCTGAATAAATTCAGCATCTGAATTACTATTGATTGCGTTCGGTAGAAGAAAGTTAAATTGAGAAATTAATTTTATTGTTTTAATGGGAAATCCGCATCACATCGCAACCTTATATGAGAAAAGGCAAATGTGTCTGCCATAGACGCAGTCAGATGATCAATATTCACGTTTACAGAGTGTTAAGTATTTCCCTGTTTTTTTTTTTTACTTATTATAATACTTATATTTGGGATAAAAACTTATTGAAGGTATCCGAATGGTTTTCTCAGAGTAACTTCACTTGTAAGAATTGTTACTGCTCGAAATCGTAAAAAAGGCTCTGAATTTTTAAATTTTTTTTTACTCTTCTGGTATGTTTATTTACGAATTTTATACGGACTGTTAATACACAAAAGTATGCAGTATCCAAAAACATCGTAAAATATAGAAATGTTTTTAATTTGAATACTCTTTCCTTTGAAGGTCTGGACGGTGACGATTTGTAAAGCAATTTAAATGGAATCATAAGTTTTAAAACTTTTATTTTTGCACCGGTAAGAGACAGGTAAGAAAATAGGTAATTGTGATTTTTTGCGATTAATTGTGATTTATTGTGACTAAAATTTTGATTTTTACGATTCTAATAGTACAGTCTCTGGGATGATATAAGCCTTATCATTAGGACCTAATTTTTTTATTTGCATTCTGTGAACTGTTTTGATGTTAGTTTTAAGATGTTAAGACATGAATGAGTTTTAAGGCGTTAAGTAGCGACTTTAGTTATTGCTACTTTAGTTATTATTTATTGTTACTTTAGTTATTTTCTCTAGCATCAGCAATGACATCAACGTCTTAGTTAATATGATTCAGAAAGGAGAAGAGAAAAAAGAATTGATTGCAACCTACACACCAGTTGATGTTATAAAAAGTATTACAAACTTAAAAAATATATATTTTTTATTATATTAAAAAATATATATTTGAAAATACGCATATATATGTAAGAAAAAAGTAAATTGACGTTTCGATTTTAATCACTAATGACGTAATCAGCAGATCAATATTTATATTTATAAGCAATGATTTCGAAAATGAGAGTAATCAAAAACAATTTGAGAGAGGTCATTGATCAGAAACTGGCCAAAAAATCTTTCTGTGCGCTCAATAAATTAACATTGAACACACGAAAAACTTTACTTCTCTCCATGCGTTAGAAAAGAGTTATTTTTTTAGAAGTTCAGTATTAACAACATCATAAAACGTTTTCGAGATAGATAATTAGGGATGAAAACAAGTGTTCAACATTGTACAGAATACCTATATATGATATCATGTTCGTTATTTTAAACTGAAGCATTTTTCGATTTCTTAGATAATAAGGGGCTTACTAGTATTAATTAAAACAAATTTAATTGGGGTTTCACTATAGCAGCAGTTTTGGATGATATGGACTTTTGTTTATATTTTATACGGAACATCTTTTAAGTGATAAGTCAAATATAAGTATAGAAAATAATTGGATTTAACTTGAGATGCAAAGGTGAGAAGGCGAGTCTGTATTTTATTTAAAATCATTTTAAATGTTCCTAATTTTTCTATT